AGCAGGGAGCCCGATGCGGGACTCGATCCAGGGACTCCAGGATCATGACCCGAGCCGAAGGCAGTCGCTTAACCAACTGAGCCACCCAGGCGCCCCCACAATGCACTATTCTTTATTAAACCATTAAAGATTAATATTTTAGAATGAAACTTTACTGAAATTGAAATCTTATATGATCCACTCAAATACTCAAATATAATGTTACATTAAGGACCATCAATAACAAAAAAAATCTATTAATAAGATTTTATAATCTCAAAAGCAAGTTAATGCATTATTTTTTTTAAATGGTCCTAATTTCAGGCATATAGAATAGAAAAAACTTGTCCCCCTTTGTAGACTTTCTAAATATATATTAGGTTACACCATATAAAATTTGGCATTTTGGAAATTACAAAAGTGACAGTTTCATTATTTAAGGCATATGATTTAATCAACTTAGGATTACCTGCAATGATATCATTTCACAACCCATCATGATGAGGTTAGAAATGTACAAGGTTTTATAAAAGACTGATTCCATAAAAAGTATATCCATAAAAAAAGTTATGTCACATTAATTTTTAGCAATAAAAAGTGTTCTTAATTAGCATTACAGAGTTCTTATTTTCATCTTTAGGGATAAAAATGTAATAATCTCTAGAAGATTTTAAGTTTTCCTTTAGTCAAACGTAATTTTCAAAATTGCCACTTTTTTTTTTTTAAGATTTTATTTATTTATTTGTCAGAGAGAGAGGGAGAGACAGAGAGCAAGCGCAAGCAGGGGGAGCGGCAGCCAGAGGGAGAAAGCAGGCTCCCCATGTAGCAAGGATCCCAATGCGGGACTCGATCCCAGGACGCTGGGATCATGACCTGAGTGAAGGCAGCCACTTAACCGACTGAGCCACTCAGGCGTCCCACCACATTTTATTTTTAGATAGCTTTTGCCTTGGTATTTTACTTGGATATTTATGATATTTATCATTTTTAATTTTTTTTCTGATTACAAAATGGAGGTGTTTATGATTTAAATGTTAAAACTGGTTTTTTGACACTGGTGGTTGACAATATTTGGGGCATAATTTAATAAATAAATTGAATCAGCAAAGTATCCTAGAATCTCTGAAGATGATTTCTATGCAAGGTATGAAATAATATTCTAGATCTACGTCCTTTAGAGATTTGAAGGCCAGCTCTAACAGGTAGAGAGAATGACTGAATTACACAGTCTATGTGTGAAGGCTGTGAGTATCCTTTGCCTTACCTCTCCTCAAACCAATGCTTTCTATTGAAAGCTTGACTAATTCAGAATCGTACAAAACAAATTCTGATGCAGAAAGTTTCCAATGTTTGGTTTTTTTTTTTCTGCAAAGTGAATAACACCCAATAAAATCCTCTCTGTTGACCAAGGACATTGCAAAGTCAAATGTGCCTGAACTTTCAATACTCTTACCATCAACCATACAAGAAGTGTGCTTCTGGATTTCTGGACTAGTGGTGCATCTATTATTTACCTAGCCATCTAAGTGTCTACCTACCTAGCTAATCATCACCTGTCTCTCTACCAATCCAGAAAGACACATTTTTAACTTTCTCTTCATGCAATGTCATCCTGGTTCAAAAAAGGCAAATAATTGTATCATCTGCATGCTCTAATCTTGAGGACAGAACCACCAAGAAGAAAGTCTCAGGTTTGCACTTCTTATTTTCTTAGGATAGTTGTTAAAAGCTCTACCTGTGAATTCTAGAGTCAGACTGCTGGTGTAACCTTGGGCAAATTCTTGACATCTTTCTGTACCTCGATTTGTCACCTGTGAATAATACTTAACCCCAGTATGGAAGACTTGATGAGTTAATTTATGAAAGTGCTTATGCATCATGTAAGCATTCAATGTCATGGTTTTTGTCGTGGTGGCTGGTGGTGGTGTTTATTCCTAGCTGTGACCATGGCACAGAGCAGGTCGGCAAAGGCTTGCCATCCTCATTTGCTGTTAATTTATTTCAAGTAAGAGCTAATGTACCTTGAAGGGGTTGTGGGAGCTATTCTGATCCCTCTGCCTCTAATACCTCTGCCACGACCAGAGTCCTCTGAGCCATTTAAGTAAGATAATTCACGTAGTTGTTCCTGACGAATTTCATCATTGTAGTCCTAGGGAAACAAAAACAAAAAACATGACCCGATGAGTTAAAATAGGGCATGGGGGTTCTTAGAGCTGAACAAACACAACATCAAAGGACATTTTTCTTCTGTTTTCTGGAGCCTTGTATATGAAAATCTAAAATGATGTAGAAGTGTATATACTTTAAATTCCCATTTTTATATACAGAAATTGAAGTTGCTTCTTTTATCAAGGAAGTACTCAGCAGGAAATCAGATAAAATGTGCTGGGATATCACTCGATGTGTTAGCCAGAAAAGGAAAGACAGCAATACAGAACAAAATTGTGGAATATACCAAAGTGATGATTAGCATAAAGATTACCGAAAAACAACTCTACTGGGATGGTATGTGTAAACTGCAAATGACTGCATGATACTCAAATAGCTAGTGATGCATAAACGAAAAAGGGGCAATCTCAAGGCCCGAAGTAGACACTGTGTTAAAATCATAAAGAAGGGGAAATCATATGGCACAGTTTCAGACAACTGAGAAGCTGTGCGATCCAACCAAACAACTTGATGGACAATATTTAAAAATAAGGAATTTTCTGTGTTCTAGCATTGGGATGATGGAAAGATAGCCATAGTAAAAGGCAAATTTCACAGCAATAACCAGAGATTCAGTCAAAGTCAAAGGGACTTTCTTTATCTTTCATCAGTGTGGAAATATATCAATCATTTTAATGGGACCAAAGAATGGATTGGGGTCACTAACGATGAATACTCTTTAAAAAACAAATATCAGTCTTACTTGTCTCTCCTTTTATTAATACACACACACACACACACACACACACACCCTTGCTTGAATAATACAAAACTGAATAATTGGTTATTTTTACCAAATGGCCAATCTGATTAGATTCTTTTTCAGTAAATATATGTTTAAGTGAAATCACTGTAGTGGATTTGCTAGTGCTGGAGAGGAGCCTAGAAGTGGACACTAGAAATATCTGTAAAGGGCATGCTGACAGAAATGATGTTTGAAGCCTAGTTGTGGGCCCAAAAACCAAGTGTATCATCTCACCAATGTTGCCAGTTTAGCTCTGCATATATGTTACAGTAATATTAACCAAACACTGTGCATCCGCACCCACACACCTCTGTTTAGAAAAAGGCAAGGATGCATTCAGCCTACAAGGATTTCTAATGCACAGCTTTATCTGATGCTCCCAAAATTGCCTTGATTACAAGCAGAAGTACTAGTCACTCCAAAGCATTTATCTTCTTATTTTTAACATGTTGCTTTCATGTTCATCCTCTTCAGCACCTCATAATGGGTTCAGCACAGTTGACTGACAGAAGAGCTATATAGTAGAAAATTACAGTTTCCACTGTAATATATATTTTCCACTTCTACTCTTAATTTTCACATTCAAGCAACCATCAAACTGAAGAATAAACATGTCTATTATTTCATTAGGATCAGGGAATGTGATGAATTGTTACTTCTGATGAACTGCTAATTCACCTGAGTGAATTGACCAGTCACTATTAAAATGAAAAATTAATTCCATAATTTTCCCATGTAATATTCCTAATTGGCAAGAGGATCACTGCAGTTTCCTATCTGAGGAAAACCCATGAACTCTCAGGGTCCTTATGAATTATAAAATGAGATAGATTTTCATTGTTGGCAACACTGAAATTTAAAAATTCAGAAATTGCAGATGAATCCAATATATGTAAATTTAACTTTTATGCTAGAATCAGAAAATGTAATAATGTGGATGTAGTCTTATGTATTGTATACTCATAAAGAAGAGGGGGAGGAAGAGACTGGGGACAAAATAGGGGAGAAGGAGGAGAAACATATTAATCAGACAGTATGAAAGAATAATTCCCAATTTGATCAGGCCTCCCTGCATCCATATCTTGGAAAGGTCCTATCACACCGACTCTAGAATTACCCATGTGATTTGTTTTAGCCAACTGGACAAGAAGAAAGGTGACAAAAGCAAAGACTTGAAAAGTGCTTCCATACTGGAGCTTGCCCTTTCTTGCCACCGGGTGAAGAAGCCCAGGCTGGTTTTCTGGATAATGAGGACCATGTGGAGAGAGGCTCCAATCACCCCTTCCCTCCCACCATCCCATCTGAGTTCCCAAACATGTGAGTGAGGTCATCCTGGGCCTGAGTCAAGTTGATGAAGAGTGGAAAAATCACCCTCTCACCCCCAGAATGGGTAGAAATAAATAATAAAGTGGTGCTTTAAGTCAGCATTCTGGTGGTTTATTTTCTGCAAAAGCTAACAAATACAGAGAGGGCTGGTCAGCCTCGAACATGAGAGACCAAAGTCAGAGGCATACTTCAGCAGCTTTTTTTCTCTCCTGTCCAAAAGAGGGTGCATAGGCCCAGGTGTGATCTACATGTTTCTTGTAGGGCAGGTACAGCCCTAGTAATGGAGGTAAATATAGCTAATGTCATACCCTAGTGTCATTAAAGTTTGAACTGTCCACTTAAAACACTTTATTCAGAGTCTATGTTCACCGATCCAACTGCAGATTGGAATTCAGCTTCTAGACAGAAACCTGCTAACATGGAGAGAATCTGTTTATCTTATTGACATGAATATTTGACACTGTGGGTTAATTCCTAGTGTAAGCAAAACAACTACTGTTGATATATAATCAAGTTTTCTATAAGCTTAGCTAGATACTCTGTTTAAAGAAATGGATCATCTTCCAGGGTTGTGGTGGTCAAGAGAATACAGACCTCTGACTACAGATGTAATTGACTAAGAATCCCAGTTGTTCTGTTCTGAAATCCTATTGCTCCTAAGACCATGCTCCCCAAGAACAACTCCTAGTCAATGACCAAATGTGGTCAAGATGCTAAAATAGGCCCATTCCTGGGAGTCACGGGACCCCTTTGCCCTGTGCTTCAAGGATTCTCTGACAACCTTGCTGAACTTGTTTTTTTTTTTTTTTTAAGATTTATTTACTTATTTAGAAGGGGGAGGGGAGAGACAGAGGGAGAGAGAGAATCTCAAGCAGACTCCCCACCAAGCATGAAGCCCTACACAGGGCTCGATCTCACGACCTGGAGATCATGATCTGAGCGGAAACCAAAAGTTGGATACTCAACTGACTGAGCCATTCAGGCTCCCCTGAACTTGCTTTTAATGTCGTTGCACCAGGACAGTCTAGGCCCTTCCACCTCTCTTTCCTTTCCGTCAAATATTGTAGTGTGAGGGCTCTCCAGTCTTCCTTGGCTCCCTTATTATTTTGTTGTTGTTGTTGTTACAGGAACATTTTCCCTATCAAAATCCTTATGTGTATAATCCCAATTTGGCATCTGCTTCTTGGAGGGCACAAATGAATATACAAAGTGTTGACAAAACCAGGTTCCTAAGATTACAAAGCTGAGAGCTTTGATAAATACACTAATGTTAATGCTTGTGGAGCTTATTTTGTTCAACACACCTTATACTCTGATTAAATTGGAGTACTTGCAGTTCTTTTACTTAAAAATGGTTATATACAGATTAAAAGTGAAACTTGAAGCTGATTATTGATTACCAAAAAGGGTAGTAATTGATATTTTTTAAGAAAATGAATTGTATATTGCCCAATTTTTTAACACCTCACTTAATAGGACAATATTAAAGAGTCATGGAGTGGACAGACACAAACCATATCTTGGGCAGGAGACCGGAACAATCTGGTTGGCTCAGATAAACTGCAGCAACAATGAAAAGCTGTGTGTGCATGTGTGTGGTGGGGTAAGAGAGAGAGAATATGGCCAATGACAAAAAAATTTAGGAGTCTTCGACTGGGAAGTATATGATGTGATTGGGAAAGGTAGGGACAAAAGACATTTTTAGGTGCAGAGATGGTTAGAAGTAGAACATTAACCATATAAAAGAAGCAATGAGGGAAAAAAAGTTTAGAGGCAGAGAATTTGTATTTGGTCTTTTTAAGATTTTATTTATTTATTTGAGAGAGAGCATGTGCTCGATGTGGGGTAGGGGCAGAGGGAGAGGGAGAAGCAGACTCCCTGCTGAGCGGGGAGCCAGATGTGGTGCTGGATCCCATGATCCTGGGATCATGACCTGAACTGAAGGCAGACCCTTAACCCACTGAGCTACCAGGTGCCCCTTGTAGTTGGTCTTAATCACCTTAGGTTTAAAATGCCAAAGTGACATTAAGTGTTATCTTAGAAATTCAGATCTGGGTGGGGAGAGTAAATTTGAATGTCATCTGCACATATTTGTGATAATAGAATATTAGCACAAAGATTGTATAAGAGATTAGTAAAATAATGCAGTGATAAAAATTTTCTAATACTTTTAATGTAAATTTGTATCACTGAAGATGTCAGTTAACTTATTAAATACAGTGTTTGGATCATTAAATGTTAAAAGACCAGGTCTTTTAATAAACTCAAGTTTTTCTAATTAGACAACCAAAATATATACACCACTGTATTTATAGTAATGAAGCATCTACATGTTGCAAATAAATATGGAAGAGAACTTTTTTAATGCCCACATGCAAGGATAGTTGATACTAAATATTTTCTAGACTGAATATATTCTGTGGATTATTTTTATAATATAAATATAATTTTCTAAACCCTAAATTCTGTAATTTTATATTATAGTGCTTTTTCCAGTCTTCATTAAGCACAGATCTAATTTTCAATTAATCTTTCATAACTAGAACATGAGTCTACCTGAAGCTAGTATATCCAGTTGAACATTTAACTGTGGCATGTGTTGTTGATGCTTCAGTTATATAACATCATTTTTTTTCAGTTATATAAAACCTTAAAGATACAAGTAAACAAAACATTCCAAGTTTACCTTATAAATATTATCTTATAAAAAATATATAACCACATAGTTCACCTGAGTGAACTATGGTTCTAAGGTTCTAGAGTCATAAAATAATTATACCTACGAATGGGTGATTGTAGTTTTATGGCATTTATAATTTTAACGCCCAATTCGCCAGCACATACATTCACTGAAAAGTAAAAATATAAGT